TGAAGAATTTAAGCAAGCTAGGACATATCCCTAAACTCCAGATGAATGAATTTGATAAATGTGATTTATGTAGCCAAGCTAAAATAACGAAAACGCCCCATAAATATGTGAGTAGAGAATCAGAACCCTTAGATCTGATTCATTTTGATATTTGTGAACTAGATGGGACGTTAACTAGGTCTGGCAAGAGATACTTTATCACTTTCATAGATGATTGCTCTGATTATTGCTTTGTTTATTTGATGAAAAACAAAAGTGAAGCCCTTGATATGTTCAAGGTATTTGTGATTGAATTTGAAAATCAGTGCAATCGAAAGATAAAAAGACTTAGGAGTGATAGAGGATCAGAGTATGACTCTAATCCCTTCAAGGAATTCTATAGCTCACATGGTAGCATTCATGAAACCATGGCACCATATTCACCAAAAATGAATGGTAAAGCTGAGCTGAAAAACATGACGTTTACAGAATTAGTTGTGGCTATTATGCTCAATTCTGGAGCTGCTTCTTCTTGGTGGGGTGATATTTTTTTGACAATCTGCTACGTGCTAAATCGTCTTCCAAAAACAAATAGAAAAGAATCACCCTATGAGATCTTGAAGAATAAGCCACCTAATCTGTCCTATTTAAGAACGTGGGGTTGTTTGGCCTACGTAAGAATTTTGGATCCTAAGAGGATTAAGTTGGCTAGTCGAGCATATGAATGTGTCTTCGTTGGCTATGCGGCCAATAGTAAGGCAGATAGATTTTATGATTTGAATGCTCGTACTATCCATTGATGCTGATTTCTTTGAGACACGATTTCCATTTAAAATGAGAAATAGTAGGGGTAATGCACTACCCGCTATTAGAGATAACGGAACTAGTGGGGGTGTTGGATCTGAGGATGAACTCAAAAGAAGTAAAAAAGCAAGAATCTCTTAAGATTTGGTGATGACTTTACTACAGTATACACCCTCGAAGATCCAAAAAGTTTGCAGGAAGCATTAACTTCCATAGATGCAGACTTTTGGAATGAGGCTGTTATAGATGAAATGGAATCGTTAGAAGCTAATAAGACCTGGCATCTAACAGACTTACCTCCTGGCTGCAAAGTCTTAGGTAATAAATGGGTTCTAAAAACGAAAGGGAAACATGATGGTGCAATCGAAAGGTTCCGAGCTTGCCTAGTAGTTAAGGGCTACAGGCAGAGAGAGAATATAGATTTCTTCGGTACCTATTCACCAGTATTTAGAATAACATCCATTCATGTCATGATTGCTCTTGTTGCCTTGAACAATCTCGTGGTACACCAAATGGATGTTAAGACTGCTTTTTTGAATGGTGATCTGGATGAAGAAATCTATATGGAACAACCAGAAGGGTTTGTTATCCCCGAACATGCCTCGAAAGTCTGTAAGTTAGACAAATCATTATATGGTTTGAAACAGGCTCCAAAACAGTGGCATGAGAAGTTTGACACTCTCGTTCTCTCACATGACTTTAAGGTGAATGAAAGTGATAAGTGTATTTACTGCAAGTCAGAGAATAACACTTGTACCATCATATGTTTGTATGTAGATGACATGTTGATATTTGGTACAAATATTCACGTGGTCAATGAAGCAAAAGCCATGTTGAAAGAGAGCTTTGAGGTGAAAGATCTGGGAGAAGCAAAGTTTATGCTTGGAATCCAGATAACTAGAACAGCAAATGGTTATTCTCTAGATCAATCTAGCTACATAGAGAAGATCTTGAAGAAATATAACTATTTTGACTGTAAACCTGTGTGTACTCCGTATGATGCTAGTTTAAAGCTATTTAAGAACACTGGAGACAGTGTAAGACAATCAAAATATGCTAGCATTATTGGCAGTCTCTGTTATGCTACGGATTACACTCGACTAGACATTGCATATGTCGTGGGATTGCTTGACAGGTTTAACAGCTGTCCTAGTAGAGAGCATTGGAATGCTATAGAGAGTGTCATGAGATACCTCAAGAGAACAGCAAACCTTGGTATACACTATCAAAGGTTTCCTGCTGTACTAGAAGGGTATACTGATACGGATTGGAATACCCTATCAGATGACTCCAAGGCAACCAGCGGGTATGTTTTTAACATCGCTGGTGGAGCTGTGTCTTGGAAGTCAAAGAAACAAACAATCATAGCTCAATCAACTATGGAATCAGAGATGATAGCACTAGCAACGGCTAGTGAAGAAGCAAGTTGGTTGAGAGGATTGATGTTAGAGACTCCCCTATGGGAAAGGCCGGTCCCTCCGGTATTGATCCATTGTGATAGTACCGCAGCTATCACTAAAGTTGAGAACCGGTCCTATAACGGAAAAAAACGACAGATTCGTCGTAAGCACAGTACTGTAAGAGAACTCCAAACGATAGGAGCAGTGAGGGTGGATCATATAAGATCCGAACAGAATCTAGATGATCCTTTGACGAAAGGATTACCTAGAGAGAAAGTCCATAATACCGCCAAAGGTATGGGACTTATGCCTACCGAAACACGGACTTCAATGGGTAATAACAAGTCATGAGTAGTATGCGAAAAGTTCATGCATAGTGAAGCATGAATCCCAAAGCAATGGAGGTTGAGTTAATAACTCTTAATCAGATCTATACCCGATGTGGGGTGGAGTACTTTACTTTGGGAGTACTCCTGATAGACTCACCTATGTGAATGTGGGAGTGGGGCCGCTCCCTATGGAACTTTGGAGGCACAAAGTTGCTAGAGCGTTCACTAAACCAGGATAACGTGCAAGGCCATAAACGCACTGGCTAAGAAGAGAACACAACTCAATGAAAAGATCTGGTGTGCTACACTGTCTGAGATAGGGTTCAAGACTACGAGTCACCCTTATGAAATCGGAAGTATAACCACTACGCTAATGTTAAAATCTTCGCGATACCTTAGCTTATGCCCGATCTTATGGAACTGTTAATGCTCAGAGATAGTTTCAAAACTATTCAAGTGGGGGATTGTTGGAAATGTATGTATGAATAGCTTTGAAAGCTATAGAGTCTCAAGTGGAAAAACTACCACATTGGTAGTTTTACTTGGTGAAATGTGTATAAAGATAGGAGCCTCTCTCCTAAGGGCATGCCTCTTGGAGTGACCCACTTTTGTGGGAGAGGGAGGACCTAACGGACCACCACATACACGCGCGCGCACGCCGTCCGTCCGACCGGTCGATCGGTCGGTTGGTTGGTTGGTTGGTTCACTTGAGACTATATATATATTTTTTGGAGAAATTCTGAACGAAATTAATTATCTAAAAATTAATCATTAATCGGTGCGGGATTATACCGACGTTTTAATTAAGGAAGTAATTATCTTCCTTAATTAATCCCTTATTCCCCAAGCAAGAGGGTATATTCCTAGGGGTTCGGCTCCTATAAATAGCCGCCTCCCCAGCCCCTCTAAACACACCACAACGAGCATAAACAGAATAGAAAGAGTGTTCATAGAGCTCCGGTTTTCGCACAAAACCGCGAGTACAGAGAGGAACTGTTTTATCCTGGAGACGACCGGTTGATAGTCTATCGTGCGCATTGAGGGCAGTGCCGCGAACGTCTTAAAGAGAGCAACCTAGTCCACGACTCAGCTCCAGATTCGGTAACCTCGTTCTTATTGTTGTTCCGTTCCTAACAGTAATTACATATAATATATTTATGATGACTTCTAACAACAATAAATAATTATTTTTATGATGATCTATACGACCAACTTATAGATCGTATCGTACTCTTTCCCATAAAGTTTAGACCCAGATGACTCATAAATTATTAGTACTCCTATCGAACTGGCCCATATATTTTGTGTCCGTACTCGTGCAGTGCTGAAACTGTGTCGTGTTGTGCTATCCCGTAGACGGCTCGACTTGGTGCCTGAGTTACATATGGTACACTAGCTATCTATATTTATCACTATCTCAAACATCCAATCAACTAGATTAGTCATCAAGTGAAGTACATAATTCTGTGGGTATTTTTTAGCCCTCATACACCATAATTTAGAGGTCACCAAAATTGTTTACTTTTTTCACATCCCCAGAAATAGTAGCACAACAACAATAGAAATTAGAGAACAAACAAAAAAAAGAATCCTATCGAATTAGATTTTACATATTTGAGACAGTGAGAGATAGAAATGTGACCTAACAAATTACAAGATTTGATCACTGAAATTGCTTATTAATTTGATGCTTGCTGGCGACTAAAAATAGCACATCTAACTTTCAGTTACCGTTACAACTATAAAGTAGTGACTAGTGAGGGAAAGAAAGACAAACACCAATTACATGAACCCATAAACCAGCAGTTAAGTGATTACTTATTTGAGCTAATGAATCAAAATTCGGGTTTGTTTATGATGAATCAGAAACCAGAGCAGACCAATCTGTTCTAGCAGTTTCAATGACGGGTTGGGTGCACCTAACAGCAATTATCAGATCAGGCGCTGGATTTAGCTGGTTCCCATCAAAACTGCGTATATTAATACTACTGCTCTAGTCGTGTAGTAGAATATACTGCAATATTTTTCCAGATTGTGAATTTCATTTCCCAGTAAGGACATGACGGTTGACTCCCAAGCATGAAGCAACCATCCCCTTTCCATGTTCTTCCTTTCTTTTCTGTTTTTTTCCAGATTCCCACTTTTAATATTTGTTTTTTTTTTTTTTCCAGATTCCCACTTGACATACTCCTTTATGTTTTGATTGATGCATCTTTAAGGCAACGAATACAGTCAGCGATGTGGAATTGGCAACCACCGCTTAACCTAATCTCCCCTGCCTCCCAACTTGCAAAAACTATTGCTTTCGGACCATCAACCGCATTACGGCAATCGATTGCTTTCCTAAACGGGAAGCAGCACCCTTCGGGTTCAAAGACAGGCATAGAAGTTGAAAAAGACAGCACCCAGAAAGACAGCTGACGTTCACCAACTGAATCTGTGGATCGCTTCAAAAACAGGGCAATTCGACATTAATTATAGCCCAATCGGGAGAGGACACATTCAACAAGCTTGCGAATGGCGGCACCGCAGCTGAAAAACGGTAGCGCATTGGGCACTAGCACTAGCAGCATCAGTGTCATGGCCTCGTTCATGACAATGGGGATCCGGAGCAGCTTCCATTCCCTTGTGGCCCTCCTCCTCACTTTCCTGGTCGTGGCCGCCGTCTACGTCACGCAGAACGGCGGCAATCAGCTGGTGGAAGAGACGGCCACGCCGCCGAGGAGTAGTAATCTGCTGACGTCGAGGTGCGATTTGTTCGCCGGGAAGTGGGTTTTCGACAATTTGTCGTACCCTTTGTACAAGGAGCAGGAGTGCAGTTTCATGTCGGACCAGCTGGCGTGTCACAAGTTTGGAAGGAAAGATTTGGATTATCAGCACTGGAGATGGCAGCCTCACCAATGCGACATTCCAAGGTCCGACCATTTCTTATTCTTTCTCGTCTCGCTCTAATTAACTGGTTTGTGGTGTTGTAATTTTGATATAATGCTTGGGCGGTTCCGTTCAACACATGCTAACAAAATTGGATCATTCTTGTGTTTTCTTTTTCTTGTTCTCGTGATGGTAAGTTTGTAAATTAAATCCAATGTCTTATTGTAAAGTTGAATATATGATTTGAGCAATTGAATGACGTTAGAATGTGTTAGAATGATGGTCTTTCAATGTTGCGTAATATGGTGTTGTACTTGTATAGTGGAATATTGTTTCTTTTTTTTTATTATTTGTTTTTGGGGTGACTGATTGTTGGTCATTGATATATAATACAGGTGATTGGTTTTCATGTCATTTTGGACATCATTTTGAGGCTTTTTTGCTGGGTTGCTGTGTTTTTTGTGTTGTTTGTTTGTTGGTGTTGGTGCTAGAGAAGATTCAATGCGACGGCATTGCTGGAGAGGCTAAGAAACAAGAGGCTTGTGTATGTTGGGGATTCATTGAATCGAGGGCAATGGGTCTCTATGGTTTGCCTGGTGGATTCTGCCATTCCTGCAGAGTTCAAGTCTCAGAAACACACAGTCAATGGGTCGTTGATAGTCTTCAAAGCACATGTAAGTTTTATATTTGTTTGATAACAATAAACAAAAGTTGAGATGGCCGAGTTGGTCTAAGGCGCCAGATTAAGGTTCTGGTCCGAAAGGGCGTGGGTTCAAATCCCACTCTCAACAAAAACTTTGATCGGGTAAATGCTAATTTTTTATTGGTCCTTTATATATTTTTAATAGTTTTTGGTTTGGTGGTTGAATAGGAATAAAATGCGACTCTCAACAAAAATTTTGATTGGGTAAATGCTACATTTTTTATTGGACCTTTATATATTTTTAATAGTTTTTGGTTTGGTGGTTGAATAGGCATACAATGCGACCATAGAGTTTTATTGGGCTCCGCTCCTGGTAGAGTCCAATTCTGACGATCCAATAAGCCACAGAGTTCCGGACCGAATCGTCCGGGTCCAAGGAATTGAAAAGCACGCCAAGTACTGGACCGATGCAGATATCCTTGTTTTCAACAGTTACCTCTGGTGGCGACGTTCCGAAATGAAAGCTATGTAAGTCCCAAAGAAACACTACTCCACCTACTAATTTGAGTGCATTCTGATCCTTTGTATCATTGCTGCAATGTTATTTTTAGGTGGGGATCATTTACTGGTCCTGACGGTGGAATAGTGAAAGCAGTGAAAATGCCACGAGTATATGAAATGGCTCTTCAGACTTGGGCCGACTGGCTTGAAGTTCACATCAATCGAACGAAAACCAAACTTTTCTTCGTCAGCATCTCACCAACCCACCAAGAGTAAAGCTCATTATAATACACCAATGAATTCATCAACTACATTTTGGTTTTATAAGGCGTCAATGGTTGTTCACTCTATTAATTTTGTTTTTTTATTTCTTTCTATAGAGCACAAGAGTGGGGAGGGAGTTCAGAGGGTAACTGTTATGGCGAAACTGACCCAATCTTGAAAGAAGGGTATAGAGGAAGAGCTACTTGCCCAAAAATGATGCGAGTAGTTGACAATGTGCTAGATGGATTGAAGGCTAGAGGAATGAATGTTCAGATGATTAATATTACACAACTGACAGAGTATAGAAAGGAAGGCCATCCCTCTATCTACAGGAAGCAGTGGGAACCATTAACCGATGAACAAAGATTGAATCCCAGCAGTTATGCAGATTGTATACATTGGTGTCTCCCTGGAGTTCCAGATGTATGGAACGAGCTTCTCTATGCATATATTTTGGACTTATGATGTATAAAACACTAAAATCTTGTCATTTTACGATAAGAAAATCCCATGAATGTAAGGGTTTCTCTTATAATTCAACTTGTTCAGGACATGCAATAGAGTGAATGACATACATAAATTGTATTCCATGTCAATCTCCCTCTATTGCTCCGAAGAAGTTTGATGATCTTTTGAAATGTCCATTATTTAATGCAATTTTTATATTCAAAAAGCTTAAATGCTTTAAGTTGGAGAGATCTAATAAAGCTTCTACTGCAAAATAATTGGAAGAATCCAGATCTAGTAAGTTTGAAGAAAGAAGATTAAGTCACTTGAGAACTTCAATATTGCACAAAAAACGCTCATCCAGACGACAAGTCCTCTCAAGGTTGATGGAAAGCTATTGAAATTTTTTTAACCAAGATCCAACCAGTGTAGCCCTGGAAAATTATTGAAATCTGTAAGAATTAGGACTAAGATTCTCCAAGCACGAGCATTCAGTTCTACAATTTGAAAGAGATTTGAGAATTTATTTCAAAGAGTAACTCATTGTTTCTCTGTCTGTATATTCAAAAGAGATTGTACCCATTTCTTGCTCAGTTTCATGGTAGTCAAGTCTAGCATCACACCAAAATTTTAGGTAATTATGTTATAGCAGTGTTCTCCTTCCACAAGTGGTGTAAAGTCTTCAAACCTCCTATACAAGTTGGAACTTGGAAGTTTGTATAGCTTTTGCAAGTTATTCAAATTCAAATGTGTAATCAGATACGAGTAAATCAAAAAATGTTGAGGAACTTGCATATATGCAAGTCTGATGATACTCAAATTGTAGTGTTTATCACTCTCATATTTGATATTTGTTCTTTTATCAATGCATATTTTGTGTATTTGTCAAAAAAATTAGAAATCATCAATATGCTATCATTGCTTTTAATAGACCTATGATGTGTTTTTTTATCAGTTCATGCCTTTTTAGTTTTTTTTTAAGTTTTGGTACTTTTCAATGTCAAAAACATTCTCGAAGGACTTTGGATCAATGAATGCATAAAATTGGAGGATTATGAGGGATACTTACTATGAAGATCATGGTGATCATCCATTAAATGAGCCAAAATCAAGGGAAGCCTTCATGAAGTCATCATTAAAGCCCAAGAGGATTCTGATGGAGAAATTTCAGCCTAAATCCACAAGAAAACCCATGACGGCCTTACAATGGTTGTAGCCGTCATTGGACCAGACCCATCTAGTCGTGCTAAAAATCGGAGTAGTAGTTACTTGAGGGCAAAAAAACCCAATGGAGCATACCAGATCTTCAATCTTCATGTCTACGGTTGTTCCTCGAGCTTCCAAGGCAAAAAAAAATTCTCCAATTCTGCTCCAAAATGCCTTAAATCACTCTCTCACTCTAGGGTTCATCCCTTGGGTGTTCGGGATCCAAAACCCATCTCTCCCCCTTCAAAATTTGCAAACACCCATTTAAATAGCTCCTAGAGGCCAAGTTACGGCCGTAACCTTTGGAGTTCAGGTCGTAACCTCTGGAATGTGTTCTGCCTCCCGTGGCACGTGTTACGACAAAAAATGGCAAAGTTACGAGCAAGGCCAGCCCGTAACTTTGGAGTATGTTGTTGTTTCTCAGTTTCCCTGTCTTTGATGTTTGGGTCCTTTCTCCCTCGTCCGAACTCTGGCTTAGTTGCCATTTTGATCCCAGACGCTCGTAGTCTCGTCGTCTTTCTTTTCATTCCAAGATTACGTGATTCTTTGTCCTCAAGATGAGATATAAATCAATTATTTCATCCTTTAAGTGTGTTTCTTCTGGCCATGAGTGAGTTTATTCCTCCGAGTCGCCAAACAATCTCGGATTGACCTGAAACTTGGGCCTATAGTTCACTTTATCTGCTAGAACCTGAAATGTGACAAAGGAACACAACCTAGCGTAAAATTGGCCAAAGAACGATAAAACACCAAGCTAAATGATTAAGAAATGAGGGGGAAACATGTGCAATTCAGCCCGAATCAATTCCTCCACACTTAAGTGTATGCTTGTCCCCAAACAAACCAAGTCAAACACAAGGTATGCTCAAAATATTTTAACCATGAAAACTTTGGGAACATATCATAGAGGCACAAAACAGAGAAATCTCAAAGACCATTTAATACCAACACATGAGCAACAGCAACCCAGACAACCCTCGCAAATGACATTCGAGTGCAACAAAATTATGAGTTGAAAAATCTGCCCTCTGTTCCCGGACCAAGACATGACATGAATCAACCACTCACACACCACAATTCTCCATGTATAAAGTTCAAGTTACCTGAATCAAAAACCGATCAATCTGGCCTTTGCCATGTTGCATATATAACATATAAAAATTAGGACTTTGCTACGGTGACATGCACTTTTCGGTCGACCTAATCTGTTGTTTCAGTGTAAAAACAGTTTCATGGTGCCTACTTTGGAGATTCATATCTTACAATTGGCTAGATGGAAATTGGAGATTGAAGGCTTGTTTTGAAGATGAAGTGTCCCTCTACACATTAAAGTACTTGAGAGATCAATAGAAAGTCCAGAAGACCATTTTTGAACCTGACCAAAAGTATATGCCAAAACTGGGAAACTGTCTGAAAATGGCCAAGTCTGGCAACGTGTTTGTCAAGCCTACTTTGGAGCTCAATTGGAGAAGCATGGATGCGAGTCAAGTCCAGGGGCCTTTACCACGTTAAATTACGTATTTTTTTATACAAAAGCAAGGCATTTGATGAAAGATTGAATATCTTTAAGGCTTCAAACAAAAGGCTCGAAGTTGCTACGAAGGCTGTTTTTCTGGCCGCTTGCTTGTGCTCGAAGTCTGCCAGAAAAACAGCATTCGTAGCAACTTCGACCCTTTTGTTTGAAGCCTTAAAGATATCCAATCTTTCATCCAATGCCTTGAATTTGTATAAAAACATACCTAATTTAACGTGGTAGAAGCTCCTGGACTCGACTTGCATTCATGCTTCTCGAATTGAGCTCCAAAATAGGCTTCCCAAACACGTTTCCAAACTTAGCCATTTCCATGCAGTTTTCCAGTTTTGGCATAGCCTTTTGATGAGGTTCAAAAATGGTCTTCTGGACTTCCTATCGAGCTCTCAATCACTTCAATATGTAGAGGGACACTCCAGCTTCAAAACAAGTCATTAGTCTTCAATTTCCATCTAGCCAATTGTATGATATGAATATCCAAAGTAGGCACCATGAACTGTTTTTACACTGAAACAACAGATTAGGTCGACCTGATCCTATATGAGGTCGACCGAATCCTAAATGAGGTCGACCAGATCCTATATGAGGTCGACCGAATTCTAAATGAGGTCGACCTAATCCTAACTGAGGTCGACCGGAAAGTGCAAGTCACCATTGCATGCATGTCACCGTAGGCACACCCTAAAAATTAACCACTCACTCTCGACTAGTGGGGTCAGGCCTATTTGGTGCATAATATGTGAATTCCTCCATCTCTTCCTCATTATAACAGCCTCTAAGGGTTAGAGTTTGCACAATGGTTGTCAGTACTAACTTGTCAGGACAACTTGACCGAGTTCAAATGCAACTGGCTATGGTTTAGGACATGGGGAATTGGATTTTCGGGTGGTGGTAACATTCATGACTCAAAGTTCCACAGTTCCAAACCCCAACACAGCAACATTCAATCGAACCAATTACTTCTTCTGCTATTCTACATCAGCCAAAAGTTTAAAGCACAAGAATGAAGGAGGTAACAATGCAATAGTGTTTCCAAGCCAGTCCGCTCAGAAACACTCATTTTTATGAGCAAGATTAAAATTTTATGGCAGCTCTCTTTTGCTTTTTTCTTTTATTTTTAAGAACCTTAACTTTTTGCCACATTCTTTGTCTTATTAAACACATGACCAAATTTTAAGAACTGCCTCCAATACTCACTTCAACATTCAGCAGAGATCATGCCAAAAACAGTCTATGGAATCTCTTAAGAAATTAAAAAAGGGTGATTTCCACTACAAACACAGAGAAAGAAAGTCACACGACTCAAGGGGCTGACTATGGGGTATGCCACACCAGGACAATCATTTTGTCCATGGGTTAATCCTATGCCTCCATTTTCCCTATTAATGGCAATGTGAATGCTATATACCATGGTAAGAGGGATCTATCGCACAAGAAAGAATCGAGTAGGCTCAAATCTCACATGAATACCTATATTCTCTATCATTAATTTTGATTTCTTGATTTTGATGCATAGATAGCTATAAAGAGTTAGTAATTAATCCAAGCCATAGGTTGGTTCACGAATAGAAGGAGAATTAAACCCCTACACAATCCTACTGCATATCTCAGTCATCATTGTGGTGGTCGTAGTCACAAACAAGCTACTCGTGCATTGATACTAACTGCCATACGATTCACATAACCACATGTGCCCATATGATCATGCAAATTTGTACTTGGAGCCCTCAAATCTTAAACTTTGGACAATGGACTAGGATTCAAGACAAGAAAAACAACAACATTCATGACACCCCAAATACAATGGAATACACCCCCACACTTAAGCACTACATTGTCCTTAATGGAGGAAATTAAGGGCGGTAGAATGAAGTTACTAAGATCGGGTGATGAATGATGGCAGGTCGAACCAGAGGTGCCTTCTATGGAAGGGAGAGTAGGAGGAACCACAAAACACCACACAAAAGCTCATAAAGGTTGAGTTATTGACTCTAAAACCAAAGCACAAAGCTGAATCGACCGAAGAGTAAAGGTAAAGAAAGGGCAACATGTGTAATTTAGCCTGAATCATCATGACATGCTTATGATATTCGAATGACTTAGCTATACTATGTTTTATTCATGTGATGCATATATCATCTATTATATTCAATATATTATTGCTTATAATATCATTTTATGTTGCATGGGAAACCCAACTTATGTGATATGTCATTGTCTTAGGCGTGTGTGGAATGGATTGGTCACCCATCTGCACTCGACTATGTTCAATGCTTGATACCTTAGATTATCAATGATATGGAACATCATGATGGTTCGTAGAGGCCCTAAATAGTGATTTGATATCCATAATTCCTTGATTGATTGACTAGTCTAGTGGCATGAAGCA